CAGTTAGGGCGGCTAGGAGCTGGAACCAACTTCCAAGGGAAGTGGTGCTGGCCCCTACCCTGGGGGTCTTTAAGAAGAGGCTGGATGCCTACCTGGCTGGACTCATTTGAGTCCCGTTTCTCTTTTTGGGGTTTTTTTTGTTGTTCTCCCGCCCTGGCGGGGGGTCGGGCTAGAAGATCTACTAGGTCCCTTCCGACCCTTAATCTATGAATCTATGAAAAGACATGGCTTCTGAGGTACAGGAAATAATGTTCTCCAGAGTCTCACTGTGCATCTGAATTACTGGGGCTGGGGACTGCTAATTAAAAGCTTGTTGACAGAGGACCCTAGTCTTCTGAACGTTACACGTCAGTCCCATTTTCTTGTAAGCCTTGGTAAAGACATTGGTGACTGCACGAAGGTCTGCTTCCGAGTGAGCACACACTACAGCATCATCAACATGCTGGATGGAACTCAATGACTGAGGTTGGGGAGGTCTTAGTTTTGGCTTGGAACCAGCCAAGATTAAACAACTTACTTTCCATCCATTCGGTAATTTAGCTCTACTGCAACTGGAATCTTGTTGGTGGTCAGATGTAGTGTGATGGTAAAGAACATAGAAGAGCGTTCAGCAATGATGCAGCTTTGCTTAACTTCTATCACAGATCCCTTTGAGGTTAAGATAGGTCATTTTTCATAACCAGTGCTTGCATAGTATCATGAGGCAGGCAATAAATAGTGACTGATTTCGATGGGCATCCATACTTCAGAAGGATCCTCCACAGTGCTTCTCAGCTGACAGGGTTGAAGGCTTTTGTGAGGTCAAAGAAGGCCATGTAGAGAGGTTTATGTTGTTCCCAGCATTTTCCTGCAGCTGTCAACCTGTGAAGATCATGTCAGTTCTACTTCTTGATGCCCTAAACCTACACTGAGATTCTCAACAAGTGGAAGGAGATGGTTCAGAAGGGTTCTCACAATGATCTTCCATGTGGTGGTCAGCAAGGTGATCGCTCTGTATTTTCCACAGTCAGACTTGTCTCGCTTTTTGAAGATTGTCATGACCATGAAGCCCATGAGGTCATCTACAATTTCCTCACCATTCCAGATCCTTAAGATGAGGCCAAGGAGCTGCAATGTAAGCTCCCTTCCCGCCTCCTTTAAGATTTCAGCAGGGAATCCATCAGCTCCAGATGCCTTGTCATTCTTTATCTACTTGATGACTTTTTTCACCTTGTCAAGGGTTGGAGGGATTCCAAGATAGTCTAACTGGGTGTTGCAGGATGGAATTGAAAACACTCTCATCAACAACAGAGTCCCATAGATTCATAGATGTTAGGGTTGGAAGGGACCTCAGTAGGTCATTGAGTCTGACACCCTGCCCTGGGCAGGAAAGACTACTGGGGTCAGACGATCCCAGCTAGGTGCTTGTCCAGTCTCCTCTTGAAGACCCCC